AAGATTTTATAGCAGAGGCTTTTACATTTTGTCTTTTATGTTTTTATTTGAATAAAGTTAGTCCCTAAAGTAGATTAAATTATTTCTAACCGACTTATTTTTACGAGATGACTAACGAACAAAAAATAGTTTCAAATTGCAGTCTAATCGCCTAATAAAATATAATGACTTAAATATCCAGACTTAAATACTAATCTCTGTAAAAAAAAACAAACAACGTTTAACGTCTAGCTTGTTGAATTAATTATTTTTGCTTCTGTCTGTAAGTAATTGCTTTAATCCCAGGGTCTCTGAAAGCCAAAGGTATTGGAAAATAGTTTTGCTTTACTTTGCCAGTTTTTCTTTTATTCGCTTGACCCTTCACCCATTGACTCCCCCTCTTAGTCGCATGGCACACCCAAGTTTAAAGTTCCTAAATACCCAACCAATTCCATCGATACTAATCCATGTTTTTGTAGTATACCCAAGCAGCGGGACCGCTCAGCCTCGCAGGGCTGCATTCCGCCCTATGTGGAGCAGAACCGGACGATGGTGTTCCTGGTGGGTCGCTGTGATCTCCGCCTGATCTCGCCCGACCGCAAGCAGGTGCTTCTCTACAAGGACTTCAAGGACGTGGCCAGCTGTGTGCACGGCCAGAAGTCACTGGATCACTTTGGTATCATCTGCCGGGAGCTGAACAATGACGGCTACATCGGATACGTGTTCAAGTGCCAGTCGGAGCACGTGTGCGACGACATTGTGGCCGCCATCGCCCAGGCCTTTGACACTTGCGCGGAGCAGAAGAAGAAACAGGAGACCCAGATCTTTAGCTGCGAGCACTGCCCGATGCTATGGTACCACAAGCTCTGCACGGACGTCGAGGGACTCTCCGAGAAGAAGACCCAAGCCCTGATTCTGCGCCGCATTGAGACGCTGAGCGACGACGAGCAGGAGATCGTGTGGGCCAAGTTCTGCGGCTCCGAGAAGACGAACTCCCCGGTTGCTGAGCAGAATCAGTTTCTCATGATGCTTCTGCGGGCACACTGCGAGTCCCGGCAGCAGCGCCACGTCCACGACACCGCCGAGAACCGATCCGAGTTCCTCAACCAGTACCTAGGCGGCAGCACCATCTTCATGAAGGCCAAGCGATCGCTCACCAACTCCTTTGACAACCTTCTGAAGCGGAAGCCCTCCAAGGACGACATTGCTGTGCCGCCACACAATCTGCGCGAGATTAGGGAAGGTTCAGCTGAACCCCTAGGAGCGGAGACTCCACCAGAGGGATTCCGATCCAGATCGAACACCGTGGGAGCGAGTCCCAGCACCAAGCCCACAGCAGAGCAGCTCAAGAGCCCCATGATGGATATGTAAGTAGTTTATAGCTTTAAGTGCGATAGAATTATATAAATAGATACATTATCTATCCCTTTTTCCCTTAACAGATTCATCAAGGTGGGTAATAGTCCCAAGGAGGCGGAAACCCACCAGGGATCCTGGCGCCAGGCCATACTTAACAGCGTGGTGACGCCCTCCAAGGGCTTAGATAGCGAAGTGCCCACCGAGTTCTTGTCGCCCATGAGAAAGCGTAAGTTACACCTTTATTTTAGTTACATAATTAATTATTAAATGAATGTTCTTTAATTATTTTTTAGCTCCCAAGCGAGGCAAGCGAGATGCCGCCGAGTTGCGAGAATTGTGGCGCACTGCCATTCGGCAGACCATCATGTTGAATCGCATGGAGACGGAGAACGCCATGCTCCAGGCTCGCCAGAACGAGAACGAGCTGAAGCGCATCAAGCTGGACTACGAGGAGATAGTGCCCTGCGACAAGCAGTTGATAGAGCGCTGGGAGCAGATTATCGAGCGCAACTCCACTCAGATTGGCAACAAAAAGGATCCCAAGGTCCTGGGCCATGCCATACGCACCGGAGTGCCCCGATCGAAGCGCGGCGATGTCTGGACCTTCCTGGCCGAGCAGCATTCCATGAACACGGCTCCAGTGGACACCAAGGAATTCCCCAACTTCAATACACCGTACCACACGCTGCTGAAGCATCTCACCGAACACCAGCACGCCATTTTCATTGATCTGGGCAGGACCTTTCCCAATCACCAGTTCTACAAGGATCCCCTGGGTCTGGGTCAGCTGTCGCTGTTTAATCTGTTGAAGGCCTACTCTATACTCGACCCGGAGTTGGGCTACTGTCAGGGATTAGGATTTATCTGCGGAGTTCTACTTTTGCATGTAAGAGTTTCTATGAAACGTTATAAGGATATAACTTAATATCCTTACTTTTCTTTCTTTTAAGTGCGACGAGGCCAATGCCTTCCAGCTGCTTAAGCATCTGATGTTCCGCCGGAATATGCGCACCAAATACCTGCCCGACATGAAAAAGTTCCAGCTGCAGCTTTACCAGCTCTCCCGTCTGGTAAAGGACCACCTTCCGGATCTGTATGTCTGGCTCGACCAGAACGATGTTTCGCCCACCTTGTACGCCGCTCCCTGGATTCTCACCGTCTTCAGTTCCCAGTTCCCGCTGGGTTTCGTGGCGCGCGTTTTCGACCTGCTCTTCCTGGAGTCCTCCGACGTGATCTTCAAGTTCGCCATCGCCCTGCTCTCCGTGCACAAGGATCAGTTGCTGGCCAAGGATAACTTTGAGGAAATCATGGACTATCTGAAGACAGTGGTGCCCAAAATGGAGGCGCACTGCATGGAGCAGATCATGAAGCTGGTCTTCACCCTGGATATTGGAAAGCAGCTGGCCGAGTACAACGTGGAGTACAATGTGCTGCAGGAGGAGATCACCACCACGAATCATCATCTCGAAATGCTGAACAGAGAGAAGACCCAAAACCAGCACCTGGAGCAGCAATTGCAGGTGGGTTTCCAAGGATTCTATATCCTTTTAAAAGATATTTATTAACTATTTCGTATCCACAGTTTGCTCAATCCTCGATTGCTCAGCTGGAGACCACAAGGTCCTCGCAACAGGCGCAGATAACCACGCTGCAGTCGCAGGTTCAGTCCCTGGAGCTCACCATCCAGACCCTGGGACGCTATATAGGCCAGCTGGTGGAGCACAATCCCGATCTGGAGCTGCCCAATGAGGTGAGACGCATGCTCCAGCAACTGGACGACCTGGAACGGCAGAGGCGCAAACCCATCTTCACTGAGCGCAAGATTGGCAAATCCATTTCCGTCAACAGTCACTTGGGGTTTCCACTCAAGGTGCTCGAAGAGCTGACCGAAAGAGACGAACATGGTTCGCCACAAAAGCAGAAGAAGGAGAAGACACCTTTTTTTGAGCAGCTCCGGCAACAGCAGCAGCAGCTCCAACATAACCGCCTCAATGGACAGTCCTCCCATGCCAGTGAAACCGTGTCCCCGACGCCGCCCTCGCGACCCAATCGCTTGCTGGACAATGCCAGTGCCAGGACCGTGATGCAAACGAAGCTGGACGAGCTGAAGCTGCCCGAGCACGTGGACAAGTTCGTGGCCAATATCAAGAGCCCGCTGGAGGTCGACTCGGGCGTGGGCACCCCACTCAGCCCACCGAGCACCGCGAGCAACAGCAGCGGCGGCAGTATCTTCAGTCGGATGGGCTACCGGACGACTCCCCAGGCACTCTCACCCCTGGCCCAGCGTCAGAGCTACGGAGTGGCGATCACCACGGCTCCCTCGCCGGCACACATGGAGCAAGTACCGCCGGCCACAGTCACGGCGGCCATGCCCCGAGAGGATGTCGAGGAGCCGCAGGCCATGCATCCACTGAGCATGGTCGGAGGCGACGTCAACGTCCGATTCAAGGGCACCACGCAGCTCAAGTCCATCAGGCCGGTGCACCACATGCGGGCCATCACCCTGGGCGGAGTCCAGCACCAGTCCAGTACGGAGTCCACGGTGGGCGTGGCGCCCGTGCCCGTCGAGCTGGCACCGCCCACGGCCACAGGTCGCAGCTAACGGTTTTGATTTATCGGCAAACTGCTGCGCGGCTTCTATCGCGAATGAAACATAACCGCTACTCCTCCTCCGTTGCCGCTTAGATTCTTAGATACGAACCCGCAGAACTATAAGATACAAACTCGAACTAATTTGTTTTGAAAACGTGTGCTCGCACAAAATGTTGCCATATACATATATTGCTCCGAAAGTTACGCAATCGTTATAAACTGAAACCCCCGACAAAGAAAGGAAAATACAAATACTATACAAGTATACAAATAATGCTTATAGAATGTAATTGGATAGTGCTTTTTCAAGATTTTATAAATTTGGCTACCGCATACAAATCAAAGCTTATATCCCTAGGCATCCAACCAAGAAAAATCTATAAAAATCCACAAAAAAAAGAGAAATATAAAACCCAAATCAAAAGAAGCATTGATGAGTCTGTAGATTGTTTTTAGTCAGCCCCCCTTTACTATTGATTTAATGTGTAACGAATTTACTTGGTAGCTTACTTGTTGATTTTCGTGTTTCTTTAGTTCTAGTGGATTAGTTCTTAACATTACATTTAATTTAATTATATTTGTACATTTCTCCCAGGGTTTTACTTTGCAATGTAAACTAAAATCAGACACCAAATGTATAAAACGATTCCGATGACATTTGCTTGTACATTGTTCTTGAATAGGATACATAGACCTCACAAATCTATTTCATTATCATTATGGTACTTGGATTGTATTGATTGTTTACATATATACGCATATATATGTATATATATTATTATGATATATGAATATTACAAGCGAAGAAAGGGAAAAGCTTCTGTGTTAAGTACTTATGTATTGCTTAGCCGGACTGCTTTCATGGGGCGTCCGGGATTTGTGTAGCTGATTTGTGTTAGAATATGATTAAAATCATTAATTAAATGAAAACAGTAATAAAGTCAACAATTATTTAATCAAAGCAGAGTCATTTTATTCTATAATACTATAATATAAAGGTTTATCTAAATCTGTAAGCTAATTGAAACTCATTTTGTAGGCTTAGTCACGACAAGTCTTATAATTTATTCAGGTAAGTAACTCAGTTTCTAGGTTTTTTTATTGTAAAGCATACTTAGTTTTAAATGCAAAAACAATTTGTATTATTTTATTAGTATATCACACAGAATTAAGTGCTTACTGGCTACTTGTAACAGAAATCTCCCAAGTCCTGAAACTCCTGCCTAGCCTAATGAAAAAACATCACAGTATTAGTCAAACTAAAATTCAAGACTTTCTCTTCTTTTTTATTTAAAATGGCTGCAAATTTTAAAAATTAAAGTGGCACTCAAAGAAACGATTAATTCGATTGGAAGAAAAGCCAATTCAGCAACACCTTGGGGAAGAAACCTTAAAAGTTTTCAAAGTGTGGATGAGTTGGCTTTTATGGAGGAAAGGATGACATGTCCTGATCCCGATCCTTTTCCAAAAACCTAATCCTACTACTGTACACTCCTGCTTAAAGCTCTTATTTACAAAGTCGTCCTTAGTCCGTGAGTCTAATTATTTCCTTAAACTAAGGACATGCATCCTTTCTACTCCTTAAATTCTGGCTTAAAACTAAATTTCGCCTTGGGCTGCTGGACTCCATTGGCCGCCGCTGCTGCCGCCGCCGCCGCAGCTGCCGAAGCGGCTCCCAGGGCCGCCAGATTTCCCAGCATCGAAGGATTCTGGGTCATGCCGGGATAGAGATTCTGGTAGAAGAGCGGGTTCTGCAGCTGGAAGAGGGCCATCAGGTGGGTGAGCTGGAAATTGGGGGCACTGGGACCCACTACAGGAGCGGAGGCAGCTGGCAGCAGGCCGGGATAGAGTCCGGAGGCTGGCAGCTTGGCAGATTGATCCTCCTCCATCTTGAAACGCTTGGCCTCGGGCTGTTGGGCATCAGCGGGGAGTTGCTGGAAAAAGGAAACAATAATTTTATAAAATAACTAAAATTATAAGAAATCTTAAACTTACAATTTTCTTTGGCGGCCTGCCACGCTTCCTGGACAAGAAATGCTCGGCGGACAGGGAGGACAGTGGTGTGGAGGTGTTAGTTCCCCCAGTACCAATCTGCATTGGCGCTGACCCATTCACGGCAACCGGCTGCTGTGGTGTGGCATCCAAGGAGCTCTCCCCCGTATCCTCTTGCTTGGTTTTGAACTGCTGGTAGGCCTGCTCTCCATCCTGGCGATCGTGCTTCCGCTTGTGGCTGATCATCTGGCTGCTGGAGTGCAGGATGTAGTCACATCCCTCACGGACACAGTGAATGTGGTTGCAGACAGAGGAGAACTTGCAGGCATCGAAAGGACACACCTCGGTCTTCAGGATCTTCTTGAAGCCGTCCATTTTCAGTTGGTGGTCTTTCAGGTGGTAAGTCTTGTGTTTGTCTAAAGAGAAAAGGATAATAATACGGTTATTAAAAATTGTCCAAGAGTCCTTGTCAATGGTGGACTTACCCATATCGGCCTTGTTCTTGAAGGTGTGATTGCATCCTTCGCGACAGCAGTGATAATGGGATATCTTTTTGCCAAAGAAGGGGCAATCCTCGATCCGGCAGTTCTCGTGTGCCCGGAACCGTCGGAATCCCTCGTTTACGATCTCGCAGTCCTTGCGATGGAAGTTGGCATGCATCTGTACATCACTGGTGCTGACGTAGACCTTGGGGCAGTGCTCGTAGACGCAGTGGTAGTGGGTCTGTTTCCAGTTGTAGGCACATCCCTCTCCATAGGCCGGGGCACAGTCGTCCGCGGAGGAGAACCGGGCGAAGCCCAGCTTGAGGCTCTCCTTGCGCTTCTTGTGCCATTTCAGGTGCCGGATGATGTCATCCTTCTTGCTCAGGATCTTGCCCTGGCACGGCTCCTCGTGGCAGTGGAAGTGCTCCCGCAGATTCTCCTGCCGGCAGAGGGTGTTATCGCACTCCAGGTAGGAGGACACTTTGCGCAGGTTCTTCAGGCTATCCTCATTCTGGAGCAGAGCGTCCAGGCCACTGGCCGCCGAGAGGCTGACCAAGCTCTTGCTCTGCTCGCTGGACGGGGGAGTGAGTAGGGAGGCGGGTGTCTGGGACTGTTGAAGGGGGGTGGTATAGGGGGTGGGTTCGCTTTCGACGGGCGTGATGTTGTACGATGAGTCTGCCGGCTGCTTAACGGGCGTGTACTGCAAAGAAAATCAAGAGGGTAGGGGGGAAGGGTTAGAAAGACTCGAGAATCATCGCTAGACTGCCTGGTGCCCACAGCTGGGCTCCAACGATCAATGGGAACCGACACAGCAGCTGTTTTGTTTTCATTGGAAGTGCAACATTTTTTTTGTCGATTCCCTCAAAAGCAAATCACGAATTTTGACATGATTGTTTTACTCGAATTACATCAACAGAGCGTGGGATATAAACACAAAAAAGTCAGGGATTGGATCAGAAAACTATAGCACTTTTAAATCCATACATACTCTATGAAATTATTGATTATGAAGCTTAGATTTGGGATAAATATTTTACTTACCATGCTGGGCGAGTCAACACTATCCGTGGTTGACTCCAGCGGTTGCACGCCCGACAGCATCAGCAGCTTCTCGGAACTGGCATTGGTGTGGGTGCTGTTGCTTGCCACGCCCGAGGAGCTGCAGCTGTGCAGGCTGGACAACGGCTTGTCATCGTCCTCGTCCTCCTCGTCATCATCCTGCTCAAACTTAACCGTGACCGCCGAAAGATTGTCGGCAACATGCGCCCCCTGGGTGGCTGCCATTGCTCCTCCAAGTGATGCTTCAGCTTCAGAGGCGGCGGCGGCATGTTGCACTGTCTTCTCGATTGGCGTTGATGTCACTGTGGAGGATTGCAGAAAATTATTTGTGGAATATTGCTCGGTTTGCAGGGAGCTGGCGTATTGGCTCAGGAGCAACTGATGTTGCAACTGTGCCTCCTGCTTGACCATCGAGTTGGGGGTATTGTTGGGGGTTAGTAGAAGGTTTGATGTTGCCAGAAAATGTTGCTGCTGCTGGTGCTGTTGCTGCAACATTAACTGTGTCAGCGGCGGCAGGGTGTTGAGCAACATTTGACCGACAAGGCTCTGTGTGTTGTTGTTGTTAGGTGTGGCGGGTGTGTGATTTTGAAAAGCAATCAAATTACTATTGGGACTACAACTACGGCTACTACTACTGTTGGTGTTTTGCGAGCTAATTCTTTTGTGCGTTCTTGTCTTGAGAATTTCTTGCTGTTGCAGTTGCTGTTGCTGCTGTTCGTGTTGCAGTTGTTGCATGCAAGTGCTGCTCGAGATATCCTCGTTCTGTGTGTAAGTGTATCCAGTCAGCTGCTGTTGCTGTTGCAGTTGCAACTGCTGCTGCTGTTGTTGCTGTTGCTGCTGCTGCTGCTGTTGCTGTTGCAGCAAGTTCATCATATAAAGTTGCATAATAAACTCCATTTGATTGGACATTTTGATCAAGCACTTTTATTTTTTTTTTTCAAAACACAGCACAGCACAAGAATATCGGGAGATTTTTCTATATCTCTCTTATTTTTTTTTTGGATTAAAAATTCTTTAAGATTTAGTTTCTTGAAGATTTTCAGCACAAAGCACAGCACGAATATCTCGTTTTTGATCGACTTTCTTGCACGACGTCTCAGCGATCCTCAAAGTTCGGCTGCGCAGCTCAAACTGATTCAACTCTTCCGCGACCTCTGGCTAATATAGCAAAAATTGCGCAAATCCTATGGAATACAACCCTCTCGCCTCCTGGCTCTTAAAAAACCGATCTCCTCCGCTCTCTCGTTCTCTTAAAAAACATAAAAATCCCATCTTCATATGGTGGTGGCACTCGTTTCATCCCCTAGTTTTTTAACGACCCTTTGAAGGGAAAACATTCTGGGAAAACTCTATGCTGGCCCAGCTTGATTTCGGTTTGTTTCCGCTTTTTTTTCGGACACTTTTTCTCGACCAATAAAATTCCAGCGTTCATGTAAATTTATCCCGAAAAGAGAGTTTTTTAGGTAAAAAAATGTCAAACAAAACGAGAGGGCTATAGAATATTGTAAAGGAATCCTCGTCCTTTAATGGAAGTAGGAAAGAGATGGAGGTTTGAGGATGGCATTAGATCAGTAAGGGAATTTTGGTGTCCTGTTTAAGGATTATTTTTTTAACAAATATTAAGTCGATTGACTTAAATATACAAATTAGTTTTTTTTAGATAAAACTAAAGTATTTCTCGAGAATAAAATAGAATAGTATTCCAGAACTTGAAGATTATAGAATAGCTTTTCCAGAAAACTTTCCCATCTTCCATATAAATTCCCTATTAACATAAGTATAATCAAATCATAGTCCCTACAAAATGCAAAATCCACATCTTTTCTATTTCGGATTAAAGATCTCTAAGTTATGCAAATTTTTCAAATTTCTGCAAGTTCGAAGACAAAATGTATCTCAAAGAATTTGCGCGTTTTTTTAAATTGGAGCAGCTGCCTTGGGTTATTGGAATAATCGAATGAAATCCATTCAAATGCAAAAAATAAGAACCCAGATTTTTGGCGCCATTTCGAACTATTTCAAAATTAAAATTACAATCGCGCAAAAAATCTGCATTACAATCAAGCAAAAAAACACAATTAAAAATGCCAAAAATTTTATAGACCCACGAAGAGGAATTTGCATATTAGAACCAGCATTTGCGAAAATGGTGAACGTGAGCAGACCCTCGAAAAAGGATTTCCATCCGAAGGAGGCGACTTGTAACATCCGCTGCGCAGGCTCGCAAATCCTTTCCCGATCACAATTTGCATAAATTATTGCTGTAAAATATTGGCACGCAGGGTCATTTGCATAATTTTGGCACAGCCCGGAGCTACGGAGGGCGATCCGATTCGTCATCCGCCTCAGCATCCGGCGTTCGGCAGCTCCGGAGCCAGTGTTATGCAAATGGACCTGCACCTTCGTCGGGGAGGAGGGTAACGTTACACTTCCAGGACCTTCCAAATCGACTGCGCACGCGCGCAATGTGGAAATTTATGCAAATCAGCCAGGAAATCCCCGAGAATCGAACAAATCGATCGGCGAGGGGCGGAGGACGATTGGTTTTGAATTTGCATTTCGGCTCCGAGCTCGCTCGTCCTGAGGAGGCCAGGACTTGGTTTGTCACTTGGTTGGCGAATTGGGATTGAAGTGGATTTACCAATTGTTGCCATAATTGAGTGACATGGATAGCGCGGGGAGCGAGCGAGATGCCGAATCGGGACTAACCCATGTTCGGAGCTATTGATTACAGAAAAGGTTGGGAAAATGGCAACTGAAAATGAAAATCTGCATGAAAATGCAAACAAAAGCCCGTACATTTCATATCCGTAGTACAAAGACCGACGATCCTCCGGAGTTCGGGTCTGGCTTGTTTTATGTCCCCATTCATAGTTTTATTTCGGCTTTTATGCTTTTGCATTTGCGTCCTGAATTTGCATACGAGTCTGACATTTTCATATTCAGTTACAAATGTTTCGAAACAGAAAACTTTTGTGAGCACTATTGTTGGATGTTGTTCCTCGTAATAAGGTTGATTGGAATGATGGAATCCCACGAAGCGACAATTATTATTTCAGACTTGGCTTGAATTTGCATCACACTGGAAATCAATTAGGCTAGCAAGCGGGTTGTCACTGGGTGGGGTTTGTCCATCCAGAATGGGGTTTTAATATCCTCCAAAGCTCACTTATGGTAGAGCCTCTATTTAAAGAAATTTCAAAAAAATTATCAGCAGTGTCATCAACGTGAGAAAGTCCCTGAGAACAACTCGAGAATAGAATCTTCCATCTATCTCCCTAATTACGGCAATTGCCCATGGCACTTCGATTCTTTGTGTTTCCTCACAATTTATGCTAAAAAGTAAACAAAAAACGTTTGAATATTCAATCCGAAGGGATCACACCCTATTTGCCTGTCTTAGGACCCTGTGGAGTATAAGAATATTTCCGTATTTTCTTCCTTTTTGTGAGCCTTTGTTTTGGGATGCGTTTAGCCACAGATTTATTGCCCAAGCCATTCGAGGTTGCATCTCAAAATCTACCCCGAGAGTTCACAGATCGATAAATGATATTTCAATAAATTCATATATCCATTCATATCCAAGGATACTTGGATATATTTAATTTGATTTAACTTAGAAGGACAGTGGACACGCGTGGATTTATGTGGAACAATGGTGGCACGAGTGTAAAGTCGAAGATTATCTCCCGAAGGACACTGACCAATGGTCAGCGCGCGTGCTGAGTTCTTAAAGGATAATGGTGTTGTTATTGAGTGGACAAACAGGTTTTTTGGTTGCTAGTGAGGAAGGGTCATTGGTGGTCATCTCAAAGGGTCATCCTTTCGTCGCGTGGCCAGTAATCGAGGGATAATTGAGATGGTCAGTTGTCACGCCAGATATGCCGCCATCTTCTTGTGCTCTGACACCGTTAATTTATAACGGTTATTCGTTGAGAATCCTTTCAGAATCCCAAACAGAAAAAAAAACTTAAGAAAAAGATTTCCCATCTAATCCTTGTCCTTCGGGTCAGGCCGAAACACAATGAAGCCGAAAGCTGCAATTTTATTCGCTTTTGCGCATCCTTTTAGGAGCCGGGCGGGTAACAAAATAACAAAAGGGTTGAAGGGTCGCTGGAAGGACCTCCCGGCCCAAAAAACCGGACCGGACTCGCGACCACGAATCAAAAATGAAAATCACAAGAAAACCGGTTTGGACATTGGCATTAATTTTCAGAAAGGCCGCGAAGAAAATTCGAACAACACAGCAGAAAAAAAAAGGATGAAACCCTTGCAGGATATATGAGCCATATGGCGGTCCATAGCCGGATCTGGTCATCCGGGAAGCACTCAAGCGATGCTGCGCTTCTGTGATGGGATATACATATTAGAAGTCTCCCAACGGATGGCAATCGTCCTGATCCTGTTTCCGATGCCACAGCTTCTGCCTGCGTCCTTGGGGTGGCAGGACAGACGGGACAATGGCGACTGGGGTTCAAAGGGTTCCTTTGCGGTCATGCATTCAAATTATCTTTCTATTTTGTTCTCAGCCTGTTATCCATTGGACGAGTCCTGTTTGGGAAGCTTCTATCCTAGAGGTCAGCCATTTTGTTGAACCCAAGCGTGTTCTCGAATTAACGGACATTTCTCAAGACGATTGCTGGAAACTTTTCATGGGAAGAAAACCCAGACAAAAGATTAATTTCTTTAGTAAAAAAATACAAATTAGTTACCTGAAATTGAAGTCGGATGTAGGCTTTCACAGGCTAGAGAAAGTATTAAAGATACTTGGAATAGTTTCTTAATTTTTTTGTATCCTGGGATTCTTTATCTAACGTACTTGCAATATTTACATCTTACAACTAATTAACATATTCCTCCAACCAATTTGTTTCAAACTCAATATACAAATACCATAGCTCATAAATAAATTGAGAGTTCAAATGGGGTCAGTGTCCCAGAACGGCACGCGCCAAACTGACCCCTGGAATGACCGCTTGACAACCCTTTAATCATAGACCCTTTCCATGGTCCAGCACAAGTCCAGAATAACTCGTTCTTGACCAGCTCTGGCTGAAGGAGGTAACTAGGACACGCGTCCATCGCGGGGTTGGTCAGTCGAAGATGCCGGAACTGACCCTCCCATAAATTCTCGCATTTGCATTGTCACTCGGCGATGACTTTATCCCTGGCCATTGTCCTTCGGCAGCATCCCTAAGTGGACGATATCTTTCCAAGGCGACGACAAAACACTCGCAAATGAAGATCCTATTAGCATTCCGTGTGGTCATTGATAGCCGAGATTTATGCAAAAGGGACAATTGCCGGATGCCTGGCTCAAGGGTCAGCAGTGTTGCACAAACAAAGTGGGATGAATATATTGAAATATCATCGATCGATCTGTGAACTCTCGGGGTAGATTTTGAGATGCAACCTCGAATGGCTTGGGCAATAAATCTGTGGCTAAACGCATCCCAAAACAAAGACTCACAAAAAGGAAGAAAATACGGAAAATATTCTTATACTCCACAGGGTCTTAAGATAGGGAAATAGGGTGTGATCCCTTCGGATTGAATATTCAAACGTTTTTTGTTTACTTTTTAGCATAAATTGTGAGGAAACACAAAGAATCGAAGTGCCATGGGCAATTGCCGTAATTAGGGAGATAGATGGAAGATTCTATTCTCGAGTTGTTCTCAGGGACTTTCTCACGTTGATGACACTGCTGATAATTTTTTTTAAAGTGTTCTTTAAAAAAGGCTCTACCATAAGTGAGCTTTGGTGGAAATTAAAACCCCATTCTGGATGGACAAACCCCACCTTGTGACAATCCGTCTTTTCGGCTAATTGATTTCCAGTGTGATGCAAATTCAAGCCAAGTCCGAAATAATAATTGTCGCTTCGTGGGATTCCATCATTCCAATCAACCTTATTACGAGGAACAACATCCAACAATAGTGCTC